AGACGCCTGGGCAGCGCTTCCGCATGGCTCACGCACGAATGAATGAATGGCTGGACGCTGCCTCTTGATTTATACTTCTGTAAGTCGCTGGTCTGCCCTTTTCCACCGGGCCCATGGTGCACACAGTCCCTCATGGTACTTGCTGACCGTACAAAGTGAGACTGGGACTGGGTACTGCTGACTAAGCGAAGTTGGACTCACCACTTGCCCACTTGCCTCTGGTCTGGTGTGTATAACGTGAGAAGGAACTTGAAAGGCCACTTCCGAACCTTCCGGAAGTCTGTGGACTCGACCTTTCAGGACTGTAGAAGCTACGACCTTGACCTTTCAGTACTGTAGCAGCTACGACCCTGACCTTTCGGAGTTGCTACAGCTACGGCCTCTACACAACTATGGCCGCTAGCCGACAGATCTATAGATCGAACCCCTACTGCTACACAGACCTACGACAAGCAACAGTCATCTACCAAAACACAGATCACGGGTTCAAACTCACACAGAGGTCGACTTGATATTGTACACGGGTAAGGTGAGGTCTAGGGATTGAGCCCTGGGATCTGCATCTGTTACTGCAAAGGTGAAAAACCGTTTCAATGGAGCCTATGTTTTAAATTTTAATTTTCAAGGGGTCAAAAGACTCAAAATGGAGCCTATAATTTAATTTTCAAGTGGTGAAAAATTGAAAATGGAGCCTATGTCTCAATTTTCAAGGGGTGGGTCAAAATGGAGACTATGTTTCAATTTTCCAGAGGTCAAAAGGACAACTAAGGTAAAAGTGGAGACCCTATGTTTTCATTTCCAAGGGGTTAAAATGGAGAGCCTATATGTTTTAATTCTCAAGGGGTCAAAATGAAGCTTATGTTTCAATTGTCAAGGGGTCAGAATGGAGTCTATAATAGGCCCTATATTATAATTTTCAGGGGTCAACATGAGCCTATGTTTCAATTTTTCAATGCGTCAAAATGGAGCCTTTGTTTCAATTGTCAAGCCGTCGTAATGGAGCCTATGTTTTAATTTTCAAGGGGTCAGCATGAACTTCCATGAAGCCTCTGTTTTGATTTCAAGGGGTCAAAATAGAGCCTATGGCCCTATGTTTTTATTTTCAAGGGGTCAAAATTCAGCCTATATTTTTACTCTCTAGGTGTAGTATCCTGGGTATGCACAGTAATGATGGCGGATGGGGATGAAACTTGGGAGTTGGGACGAAGAGCTCGTTTACCATAGACACCCAACTTCGCTCCGAAGGAAGCCGAGCCACACTGAGCTGTTTTTTGTTCTTCTCCTTGTATATCTTCTCCAAGGAGGGTTCGTCAACCGAGTAAAGGTGCGCAATTGCTCCAGCTGTTGTAAACATTGCACATTTGAAAAAAAACGATACAGAATCGCAAGGACAAAAAGAAATGAAAGAAAACAAAAAGCAATTCAGTAAGAGATCTAGAAGACCGTGATAATTTTTCTTTCTTTCTTTCTTTTTTCTTTTTTTTCTGCTTTTTTTTTTTGGGGGGGGGGGGGGGGGGGGGGGGGGAGGAAACAAGCCGCGGTGGTGCTAGTAGGAGTGCTGATAAGAGCAGGCACCGCTTCTTTCGTTTCTTTATTTGGATCGCTTTTTTTCCCTCCATTTTTTCGATCTTCCATCATTGGATTTTCCTCTAGCTCTTGTAAACATTACAAATTACAAATTTGAAAATGAAAACCCCACGCAGATTCACAAACGGACAAGCAAAAGAGATGAACGACAAGGAAAAGCAATTCAGTAAGAGACCAAGCAGAAATGGAAGGGATCATGACCTTTGGGACATCCATTAAAAACTGGAACGATACAGAAAACGAAAATTAGCATGACCCTGTGCAAGGGATGACACGCATAAACCGATAAATGGTCCAAATGATTTAATAATAATAATAATAATAATAATAATGATAATAATAATAATAATAATAATAATAATAATAATAATAATAATAAGAAGAAGAAGAAGAAGAAGAGAGAAGAAGAAAGAAGAAGGAAGAAGAAGGAAGAAGAATGAAGAGGAAGAAGAGGAAGAAGAACGAGGAGGAGGAGGAGGAGGAAGGGGATTTTTTTTTTTTTGGGGGGGATGGCTTTTTATGTCCGTTTGGATCGGTTATGCGTTGGATGTGCACGAGGGGTCATGCTAGTGCAACGATGGATGTTTCACCATGCTAATCAATATTTTTGTATTATTCCGATTAAAAAAAAAAGAAAAAAAAAAGAAAAAAAAAAGGAAAAAAAAAAGACATCCTGAAGGAAGTGGTAAAAAAAATGGAAAAGTAGTTCCCCTGCAGACAGGTTTCCTTAGGATGACCCTCTCTTTTCCCTACTCGTTGATTGAACTTGATTCATATGTTTGCCGGTGACAAGCAACCGAAGTGAGGCCTCCCCATAAGAGAAGGAGCACCCATGTGTGTGTGGGTTTTGGAAAAAAAGAAACTACCTTCTTTCAGATTGAAAAAAATCATTGAACTTTTTGGAGACCAAACTTCCCTCTTTCACATCACCATCATTCAGGATAAAAAACTATCTATCTTCTGTCAGATTGAAGTTCATTGGACTCACCAGCATCATTGAGAAAAAAAAAAACAATCTTCTTTCAGGTTCAACTGGTTATCATCATCATCGTCTTCTTGCACACCAAAGTAATCATCATCATCATCATCATCATCATCATCATCATCATCATCATCATCATCATCATCATCATCATCATCATCATCATCATCCATCCATCATCATCATCTTTCAGGTTAAAGTTCCCGTCAAACTCATCACCGCCATTTAGAAGAAACTTTCTTCCCGAATAAACTCCTCCTCATCCTCATCATCATCATCGAGAAGCAACTATCTCCTTTCACAAGACACTACGCAGATTATGGTTTATACTTTAAAGTTTAAAGTTTAAACCCATTATTGCGGTTCCTCTTTCTCCAGGTTGAACTCATTTACAAGCAGCTATCTTCTGTCAGATTAAACTACTCATCATCATCATCATCATCATCATCATCATCATCATCATCATCATCATCATCATCATCATCATCGTCATCATCATCATCATCATCGAGAAGAGGCTTTTTTTTTCTTTCAGATTGAGCTCACAATCGTCATGAAGTCGAGTTTTGACTGCTGGACTGGGGGACCAGTATTTTGGCCTAACAATCCACTGGGTCCGGTATCGAGCTTCTACTTGTGTGATGCACTTCAGAGCCTACCAAGCCTACCTGAGCTCCCAGAGGGGTCTGCATAATGAGAATGAGAATGATATTCCCGCCCACATTATTGTCTTTAGTCGAGACTCTGTTTCATCACAAGTGGTTAACGGTGGACCCCCACTTTCAGCTCCTTGGTTATGTTTGGTACTGTACTGGGATAGCTGTCCCAGCCCTTAGTTCATGTCAGCCTCTCTTTCCTCCCTTCCTCTCCCCTGTGTCATCACCCCCACTGTTTGCAATTAGTCTGTGTTCATTGATCCTTCCCCGTAGCACAAACACTCGGCAGTGGCGCTTGTTATGATGATGATGACTCCCGATTGACACAGGCCCAGGTCTTGTGCAGCTATCTGCTAAAGAGTTGTGCTGAATCTGAAATGAAGACTGTCTGCTACCATGTGAGCTTGTAACTGAATGTTATGCTTTACTGATTTAGCAGCTTAGACTACCGTCTTCTCCCCCAACATACGGTCATTATCACTATCTCCGGGCCAAATTTCAGTCAAGATAATCTATATTGACCATACGTTCTATTCGGGGGAAGACAGTGGCCAGAAGAAGAGTAAAGGCAACACGTCCATAATGTCAGACACACATTGAGAGAGAGAGAGAGAGAGAGAGAGAGAGAGAGAGAGAGAGAGAGAGAGAGAGAGAGAGAGAGAGAGAGAGAGAGAGAG